TCACTGACTCTGGACTGACAGTAAGGGAACCTATCTAGAACCAAACTGGGCCCACTGAATGTGGGTGACAGTTGTGTAGCTTGGGCAGTCTATGGGGCCACTGAAAGTGGGACCAGATTTATCCCTCATGCTTGAACTGGCTTTTTGGAGTCCATTCTCTTTGCTCAGCCTTGATATAGGGGAAGAGCCTTGGTTCTGCCTTAAAGAGATGTGCCAGATTTTGTTGATTCCCCATGGGAAGCCTTATCCTCTCTGAGTAGTGGGTGGAATACATGGGTATGTGGAAGATGGGGGGAATGGAAGGAGGGGAGAAATAAGAAACTGGGATTGGAAAATAAACCGAGAAAAGATTGTTTTAAAAATAAATTTAAAAAACAGGATGGTTTAAATGGTCACACATGACAGAGAGAGAGAGAGAGAGAGAGAGAGAGAGAGAAAGAGAGAGAGAGAGAGATTCATATAATCATTGCATAATTAGACAAACCCAGACAGTAAGCTACATGTAGTCATGTGGACATATAAAAGGCTTCAGAAACACTCTCAAGCAGAAGGAGAAGTGAGAGAGCAGCAAGCAGCACACACTGAAACCCAGACTATGTGCATCCCAGTGCTCATGCCCACAGATGGAAAGGAAAAGCCAAGCTGCAGTAGCTGTGCTTTCAGCGAGAAGACTGCCCGGCTAAGGAGGGGAAGGGAGGACAAGGTTTCTACTCTGTATTTGGCCCTTAAAACTGTTTCTGTTTTATGAACATGTATTTTACTATTCATGTGATTTTTAAAATAGTATTTCCACTCAATAAAAGATGAAGAAATATATGAACATATTTCATTCTGTTCATCTTTCCAAAAATTTAAACAGATGTAGAATCAACCAAATTCTTACAATAAAAAAATGTTTGTTGGGTATAGAGGCACACATTTCTCATCTCAGAGATGGAGAGGGTGAGGTAGAAGGATCAAGAGTTCAAGGCTAGCCTGAGCTACACAGCAAAATCTTGCTTCCTGACTCAAATTTTTATTTTTTAATTAAAAAAGAAAAAAAGGAGGTCAGGAAGATAGTTCAGTGGCACTGTGACTGGCATGTGAGACCCTATGTTCAATTCCCAACACAAAGTGGGAAGGGTGAAGAGTAAGAAAAGGAAGATGTGGTTAATCTGAGCTACTAACACCATCCATAAAGGTTCAGTCAAAAAAGTTCATAAAATGTCTGTAATTCCTTCTGCAGTGGTAGAGGAAAAACAGATGAAAAGAATGGTTTCCTGACTAAAGTACTTACTTCATACATATATAAAACATATCCCAGTAACATTAGCCACAACCCCTCGTCCCTCTCTAACCTACACACCAAGTCCCCAACCCTCTTTCATATCTGTTTTGTTGTTGTAAAGCACTTTTTTTGACAAAGGTTTCTGTTCTGCCTGGTCCCATAACCATTCATTCCCAAAGAAACACACAGAGGCCTATATTAATTATAAACTGGTTGGCCTATTAACTCAGGCTCTTTATTAATTAACTCTTAGATCTTATATTAACCCACAATTCTTGTCTGAGTTAGTCACACGGTATGGTACCTTTTATTAGTGAAGCATTTTTATCTTGCTTCCTCTGTGTCTGGTTGATGACTGTAGACTGAGCCTTCCTTCTTCCTGAATTCTCCTATTCTGGTGGCCCTGCCTATACTTCCTGCCTGGCTACTGGCCAATCAGCATTTTATTAAACCAAAACAAGTGGCAAATCTTTACAGGGTACAAGACCATTGTCGCACAACACTCTCCTCCCCTTTTTTAAAACCAGAACTCTGAATCTAGTCTCCTTTGTCTAGCTTTTTTCCTGACCATTATCCATAACAACTTGTATCCAACATTCTAAACAAAGACAAACATCCATAATCAATTTTGGGGGGATCTGGGTGTAGTTTTCTAGGCTACTTCCTGCTGATTGGGGGCACTGATAATCTTATGGGGACCTAGAGAAAATATAAGATTATGGTCAAGTCCTGAATGGAATATTCTGTGAGGCTTGATCAACTCAACCAGCAGTCTTGAGGTTGTTCTAGATGTAGAACTCAGAGAAAACTCCAATAGAGATCCCCTGAAATGTTGGACCATCTGGGCCACCAACTCCTATTGGAGATTTTTCAGAGTGTCTTGGTCATTAAATCACATTTGTCTGCAAGGAATCCACAGCTTCTCATCTTCTGTGGAAACAAAAGCAGAACCTCTTTTCCAAAGCAACATATCCTTAGACTCAAATTTTAAAGTCAAGATACCTTTAAAATACATATATGTTGGTTTAATTTAGCATCTCATACAATGAGATGTCTCTCTGAACTTAGCTCATTCACAGTCAAAAATTAAAAGAAAATATAATAATATACATAATCTCTCTGTGTATATTCCATCTTTATGTGACTTATTTTTTATTCCTTAAATCTATGACTATCTGTACTCTGTCTCTTTAAAGACTTTGTTTTATTTTTTAAAATCATTCACTTTTTAAAAAAACTATCTCTCCCAAGCCTATGTATATTTATCTAACACTGTGACCCATTTAGAGGTCTTTTACATCTAAATTTGTCTTTATTGCATATCTGTAATATTTTCTGACCAGGAGTGCTTTAAAAATGGTAGGCAGCTTGGTCTCAGCAGCCCTGGATGCTGGCTCCACCTCTCAGTTCACCATCTGCTCTGGAACTGCTGGGTGGCAGTGTCCTCATGACGACAACTCTGAGCACACAGCACATAAAGCCTTTCTATCTGAGTAAAAGCTAAATCTGCCACGTATGACACTGTGTAGCCTGGAAATATCTGTGTATGGCGGCAGGAATCCGCCATGTTCTCCTGCCTGTGCACGGCTAGCAGACCTGATCCCACTGTCTGCACAGGCAGGGACTGCTGAGCTACAGGCATGGTCTCAGCTACCTACCTCCTGACTCCCAAGTGGGCACATAAGCATCCAGACCCAAAGTGGATGGTGGGTATCGGCCCCAAAAGGAGCCAAAGCTGTTCCTGTAACTAGCACAAACCAGAAAGCCTTCCCTTAAAGAAACTGCACAATTCTTGCCACTAAAGCTGAGTCAGGAAAACTCTTAAAGGAGCCACATCTCTGCTTGCCACCAGAGTGTGTTTGTGCATGTCTAAAATTCCTTCCCAAACTCTCTCAGGTTTTAAGTGGATTTAGTTGGCCATGTATTGCACCAATTGTTGACAGAGGTTTCTGTCCTGCCCGGTCTCGCAGTGTCTGAAGATATTTCTGATTGTCACAAGTTGGAGCTGGAGACAAGTGGAGGGTGTTACTAGCATCTAATGGACAGAGTCTAGAGATGTTCTACATCCTACAATAGGACAGTCCCCACAAGACAGTATTATTCATCTCAAAATATCAATACTGTCAGTTAAGAAACCCTGCTCTAACTCTAAAATTTTAATACTATTTTGAATATGAAAAAAAGACTTCAAAAAAGTAAAAGTCAACAATATAGATCAGAGACGTAGTTCAGTGGTAGAGCACTTGCCTAGCAGAAACAAGGCCTTGTGTTCCATACCCACCATTCCCCCAAAGAGTAAGAATTAAATGTATGACAGAGAAGTGGTGGTGCACGCCTTTAATCCCAGCACTTGGGAGGCAGAGACAGGCAGAGCTCTGTGAGTTTGAGGCTAGCCTGGTCTACAGAGCGAGTTCCAGGCCAGCCAGAGCTGTTACACAGAGAAACCCTGTCTCGAAAAACCAAAAGGACCTGGAGGGAGGGGGAGGGAGCTGGAGCTTCCCACAGGGCAGG